GTAATTGTAACGGAAAAGTCCCTCTCAGGGTGACAATGACATCAGTCACAATTTTGGGAATTTAGTTGAGTCTAGATTTCTCTCGGCCACGCAAGCAACTCAAATCATCCACTCACATGACAAATTTCTCTTTTGTACTGTTAGGTATTATCTCTGCTCTCTGAACCGCAAATCCGATGAACTTTTATCCCTTTTCTGTCAGTTTCAGTTTCGAAATGGCAATGCCATTGCATCATCTGAAACAACTGTAACATGCGATCAGCAAATTTCGGCGGTTACACTCCGCTTCTTTGCAGTTCACAAATAAAAGCAAATATTCGAGTCAGAAATGGATCTCTCGTCGAAAAGAAATCGTATACAAGTGGCCTCGACTAATAATATGATTGGTAAGAAACAAATCCTCTCCACTCCCGGAAATGTCACGAAATACGTATACTATATTTGGATACGAAAACCCTCCAAATATCGTAATTATCTTAGTGACCTCGTGCCCTTTTCCTGTTTGTTCACAAATCTCGTCGGCTATGGCACTTCGTTCCATTGCTCTCATAAAGTAGAGGTTCGGCATAAGGTGGACTGATCTCTTGTCTTAAAGTATTTATATCTAAGGCCCGGTTCTAAAGTCGAATTTCACTTGTGCCGAACTTAATGCGAGAGTTAACAGGCGTCAACTAATAGTTAAAAAACAAAACAAAACAAAACAAATCATCCCATGTGTTTCCGGAAATGCCACAAAATACTATAATTACGCAACATTTGGATTGTGCAAGAAGCTTATGTTACCATTATTACAGCCCAGATACAGATTTAGAAAGTCGACTCGACCGGCAGTAATGAACCTGAAAAACAAAAAAAAAAACTTCATTTTCATAGTAGGTTAAAAAGATCAACAGCAAACGATTTTATTCTAGAAGCCACGAACAGCTGGGTGGCAATACTTTCAGTTACATCTTTCAAGGCTTAAAAGTCCTCCATACTGTTCGCGGTAACGATCACAGGGGGCCCACACAAGCGGCGTGTCTGGTCGTTTGTTCTAAGTATAAAGAAATGTATGGGAGAATATTGAAGAGTCGTAATATCGTAAACTTATATCAAGGAATGTCTATGTGAAGGCTCGAAATAAATGTAAACCTACCTCACTTGCCGTGTATTGTCGTTTCTGTGGTTCTAAATGGCGAA